GTGTGGTACTGGCATAAAAACAGAGAAGTCGACCAATGGAATCGTATAGAAGACCCGGATTTTATCCCACAAACCTATGAACACCTCATTTTCGATAAAGGAGCTAAAAGTATGCAATGGAAGAAAGAAAGCATCTTCAACAAATGGTGCTGGCACAACTGGATGTCAACCTGTAGAAGAATGAAAATAGACCCATATCTCTCACCGTGCACAAAACTCAAGTCCAAATGGATTAAAGACCTCAATATCAGTCCGAACACACTGAACCTGATAGAAGAGAAAGTGGGAAATACCCTACAACAGATGGGCACAGGAGATCGCTTCCTATGTATAACCCCAGAAGCACAGACATTAAGGGCAACATTGAATAAATGGGACCTACTTAAACTGAGAAGCTTCTGTAAAGCAAAGGACACTGTCACTAAGACACAAAGGCAACCTACTGACTGGGAGAAGATCTTCACCAACCCCGCAACAGACAAAGGTCTGATCTCCAAAATATATAGAGAACTCAAGAAACTAGACTTTAAAATGCTAATTAACCCAATTAAAAAATGGGGCACTGAACTGAACAGAGAATTCTCAACAGAAGAAGTTCAAATGGCCAAAAGACACTTAAGGTCGTGCTCAACTTCCTTAGCAATCAGGGAAATGCAAATCAAAACAACTTTGAGATATCATCTTACACCTGTCAGAATGGCTAAACTCAAAAACACCAAGGATAACCTTTGCTGGAGAGGCTGTGGAAGAACGGGTACCCTCATCCATTGCTGGTGGGAATGCAATCTTGTGCAACCACTGTGGAAGTCAGTGTTTCGGTTTCTCAGGAAATTCGGGATCAACTTACCCCTGGACCCAGCAATACCACTCTTGGGAATATACCCAAGAGATGCTCTATCAAATGACAAAAGCATTTGTTCAACTATGTTCATAGCAGTATTATTTGTAATAGCCAGAACCTGGAAACAACCTAGATGCCCTTCAATGGAAGAATGGATGAAGAAAGTATGGAATATATACACGCTAGAGTACTACGCTGCGGTAAAAAACGACTTCTCGAATTTTGCATGCAAATGGATGGAAATAGAAAACACTATCCTGAGTGAGGTGTCCCAGACCCAAAAAGATGAATATGGGATGTACTCACTCATAATTGGTTTCTAGCCATAAATAAGGACCACGGAGTCTACAATAGGTGAACCTAAAGAAGCTAAGGAAGAAGGTGAACCGAAGGAAAAACATATAGTTGTCCTCTTGGCTAAGGGAAGTAGACCAAATTTCCGGGGAGAAAATGGGATCTTGGGGGGGGGGTGGGATGGGGGTAAGGGGAGATGGGGAGAGAAAAGGTAGAAGGGAAGGAGGGGGGACTTGGGGAAACAGGAGAATTGGGATAAAGGAAAGGTGGATAGGGGAGCACGGAACCACAATTCTTAGTTAAGGGAGCCACTTTAGGGTGGGCAAGCGACTTGACCCTAGAGGGGCTCCCTAGTGCCCAAGATGAGGTTCCCAGTTAGTTCCTTGGGCAGCTGAGGATTGGGAACCTGAAATGACCCTATCCTAGAGCAATACTGACGAATATCTTGCATATCATCATAGAATCTTCATCTGGTGATGGATAGAGATCGAGACAGTGACCCACACAGGAGCACTGGACTGAGCTCCCAAGGTCCCAAGGAGGAGCAGAAGGAGGGAGAACATGAGCAAAGAATTCGGGACCACGAGGCGTGCATCCACCCACTGAGACAGAGGAGCTGATCTACGGGGAGCTCACCAAGGCCAGCTGGACTGTGACCGAAAAAGCATGGGATAAAACCGGACTCTCTGAACATGGCGAACAATGAGGGCTGATGAGACACCAAGGACAATGGCAGGGGGTTTTGATCCTACTTAATGTGCTGGCTTTGTGGGAGCCTAGCCAGTTTGGATGTTCACCTTCCTAGATATGGACGGAGAGGACCTAGGACTTAACACAGGGCAGGGAACCCGGACTGCTCTGTGGACTGGAGAGGGAGGGGGAGAGGAGTGGGGGGAGGGGGAGAAGGGTGGGAGGAGGGGGAGAAGGGTGGGAGGAGGGGAAGGGAAATGGGAGGCTGGGAGGAGGTGGAAACTTGTTTTTTGTTTATGTTTTTTTTTCTTCTTTTCGCAATAAAAAAAGAACCTATCTACTTCAAAATAAAATTAGAAATAAAATAAAACACATATGAATCACTTAACACACTATTTTACCAGAAAACTAACACAATAAGAGTTTTAGAACAAAATAATTTAAAACAAATGTATTTAGAAATGAAAAGAAAGTAGGCCCTGAAACCAGTTTATGTACTATTGTCATCCTAGATGGGGTAAAAGTTTGCTGTGCACTAGGGAAAACAAATTGGGAAGAGGCACCAGATTGTAGGTACTTCCAGGTTTTGCTTTAAGTTCACAATATTTTGTGTACTGTTGAAGTTTCCTAGCTGCAGTATACCATCATACATATTTTTCTAATGAATAAAATCAGCAATATATTTTATTTAAAGTACAATATAGATGGAATAAAAGTTTGCTTGTGCTGCTGCAATAGCGTCCCAACGCCCTCGATCGTATCCCTGCTCTAATCTCCTGTACTCTCTTTCCCCAGGCGCTGAGAATAAAGTCCACATTTTAACCATAGCTCACAAGGTTCTATAGGACAGTTCCCTGGTCTACCTTTCCAACCTTCTCTCTAATCATAACCCCCCAGGATCATGTGTTTCCTTTCTTTCATCCCACACCTCTTCCAGACCTGCATCTCCACATCTGCTATCCCTTGTGTTGAAAAGCTTTACTGCTCTCTCCGTTCCCCAAACCCTGTGTATCTTGTCTTAAGTATGTGTGCTGGTTAGGTTGGGGGGGGGGGGGGCGTTTGTTTTTTTGTCTACATGACAAAATTTGGGGTTATCTGAGAAGATAGAACCTCAGCAATTGTGTCCATCAGACTGGCCTGTGGTCATGTCTGTGAGGGCAATTTATTGAGGTGGGAGGGCCCAGTCACTGTGGGTGGTGCTACCCCTGGTCAGATGGCCCTGGATGGCATAAGAAAGCAGGTTGAGAAAGTTATGGAGAGCAATAACAGCTCTCCTTCCACAACTTCAGTCCGTACCTCCAGGTTCCTACCTTGACTCTCCTGGATGATGGATTGTGATGTGGAAGTGGAAGGGAAATAAACCCCTTCATTGCCGAGAAGCCTTTGGTCATGCTGTTTCTTCACAGCAAGATGAAAGCAAGCCAGGATCGTAGGATATACGATGCCACAAGTGGGGTTCTAAATTACAATTCTGAAAGTGGCTATGATTCACTAAAAACGGTGACAAGGTAATTTTCCTTTTATATTGTCATTTCTACATTTTATTTAGTGGACTATTTGTAAAAGAAGAAAATCTTGTGACTGTGCCTTAAAACAAAGCAACAGTGTAACCAATGGTGTTTTTATTCTAAGGCTAAGGGACAGTAAAGGAGGATGATTTAAGATGGACGCAATCATTGAGCATATTTCACTGTTCTTGGAACTCTCTTTCTTTATATAATTGATATAGCACAACCTAACTAAAGGCCAAGTCATGGTGGCCTAAATATCTACTGGTCTAGGGACAACTGGAAGACATTCTGTTAGTTTGAGTAATAATTGCCTTCATAATTAAAGTCAGTATTGCAGGGGAAAAAAGAGACACACTTTTCAGAGTCATCAATGTTCTGTAGAGAAGAAAGATATTGATTGCTACTAAGCATTGCCACAGAGATTACATTTTAGGTTGTGACATTAAATTATCCTTTGAGACAAGGTCTCTGTATGGTTGTCCTGGAACTCACTAGGTAGATAAGGCTGGCTTTGAACTCACAGAGATCCATCTGCCTCTGCCTCCTGAGTGCTGGGATTAAAGGTGTGTGCCACCACTCCTGACCTATGATATTAAATCCTTAGAACATAACTGTCGAAGAAGATGCTGAGAAAGCAAAGCAAAAAACCTTCTAGTGTTCCAACACAAGTGACTAAAATTCATAGACATTAATTTTCTTTGCATTTCTCCCTCTTCCTCCATTCTCTCCTCCCTTCCTCCCTCTATCCTTCTCTTTTTCCCCTCACAGAAGTCATGATGGTGACTTAAATGTCGGAGTCTCTTGGCATAGTGCTTTGATAATCACTTCTTTTAAAACCTTAGTCTTATTCTTCTGTTAGTTCTAGTCAGAAACTAGATGGCTGGTAGCTATGAACATAATTGACACCATGAAATATTTTACTGAGTATCCTCTTGATGGTTAACACAGAAGTGATAAACATATTTCAGATGTTTTTCTCTTTTCAAATTGACTCCCAATTAATCTCACAGTTCTATAATGATGTGTGAAGTCAAAGTTACAAAAATGATAAAATATAACTTTTAATAAAGTTATGAAATATTCTCATTCAATAGTATACAAAATGCAAGGATCACCGGAACAACGCATAAAAATAAGAGTGTCCAATAGAGATATAAAAATGGGAGAAAACTGAATCTACAAATATATCTCTACATTTTACTTTTTCAAGTAAACACATGGCTCATATGACACAGCAAATTATTTATAGTCCTTTTTTACCTGTATGTTACAAAGCAATATTGAGGGCATGAATAGAAAACAGCCTAAATCATTGACAAAAATCAATAAAAAAACCAACCAAATGAATTTTTCAGATGATAATAATGACAAATCCCTGTGTAGCAGGTTCTATCATAGTGTAATAAATAGATCTTCAGACTGTTGAGTTAAGTGAATCACCTATTTTATGGTCATAGTTGCATTTGCAATTGATAATGTAATCTTGTTGGATAACCTGTAAATATCTTATTCATCTCTCAGTATAAAAATGGAGTAGCGCCCTATTGTATGAGAGAACCATGTTTCCTAAGAGTAACAGAAGTGACTGTAACAGATCAAAACACCACTAAAGTTCTGGACCTTTCTAAAATATGTCAGAAAACAAAAGAGGACATAACCAATATTCAAAGTTTAAAAAAAACTGTTTCATTGTCATGTGTTTTCCCCTTTTCTTTTCCTTATTCATACAGTTTCAGGAAAGATCGAAATCAAAGTCTCTTTGCAGAGTCATTCTGACTTCAAGCATTTCAGTTTCCTGGATATAGGATGCTTTAGCGCTGTTGCGTTCCACAGGCTGGGGAAAGTTTACTATCAGCTTCCTACAAAGGAGGCAAGATAAAACAAAATGAGATCAGAATGAACTTCCTAGAGTAATATACCATGTTCAATAAGGGTGTGTGTGTGTGTGTGTGTGTGTGTGTGTGTGTGTCCGAGATGCTTGACTTTCCTGCAAAAGTATTTAGACAATATAAATACCAAATAAAATATACCTATATAACACAGATCATGTATCAGTTTGGATCCTTATACTTCTACGCAGGCAAGCCACATGTGGTGCATGCATACCTATGTGGAAGCAGGAAGATTCCCAAGTTCAAGACCAGTGTAGGCAACAATGAGAATCCCAGGTTACCCTGGGCTGCATAGTAAGATCCTGTTCCATTTTAAAAAATCCAAATAGTAGTTTTGAATGAGTCTCCCTCTTTCTCTAAATTGACCTTGTTCTGCATTGTATAATGTCTCAGGTTATGCCTCTAGTGTAGAACTAGAACCATGCCTCTTTAAGTTTGTTCGGCTAATCTGGTATCAGTCTAATTTATATGTAGGTAGAATGCAGACAGCTGAAACAATTCTGAAATTGGGGTGGTTCTTTAACACTTCTGCTAACACCACTTTAGGGTGAACCACTACTACATATGTAGACTTTAAATACTTGGCCTGGAATGATTTCAATGCCAGATCAATGGAAATATTTCTTTCATTTTGCTTCTGGTTCTTAATACCGTACACTGACAAATTCGTTGCGATGGATTTCTTGGTTTATCCTGCTGTTTATGGCTCAGCTGTGTGCTTTTAAATGTGTCACTGCGATAAGCCAACCATAATCCTGTCATAGTGGTAGGAATCTGAAGTATGCCAAGGGCCATAGCACGCTGATACCTGAAGAAAGTGAAACATGTGAACCACTTATTGCCCTCGCGTTCTCAGTAGACAGGGCTTAAGTGTGCATGTGTGGATGTGTATTCGTGTTTCTCTGTATGTGCACATGCAAGGGAGTGCATGTGGAGAGCAGAAGGTGGCATCAAGAGTCTTCCTCAACTGCTCTTCATCTTTTGTTCTGAGACGGGGCTCCCACTGAGCCAGCGAGCAGCACTCCCCCGTGCCCCGGTTCAGTTCTTGTCTCCAGGCTCCCGGCCTGCTTGTGTTCTTGCTCTGGCTTTACTCAAGGGTGGACTATGACCTGAAAACTGCAAAAATGAAACAAGCCCTTCCTCCGCAAGCCGCTTTGCGTCAAGGTTTCATCACAGCAACAGAAAGCAAACTCAGATGGTAGATATGTTATTCTTCACGTGTCCACGTTATTTAGATAATAGAGTACACAAACGACCTAATTCAGGCCAGGTTCTATGTGGAAAGGTGCCTCTGTGAGAGACTTTCATTTAGTGAGTTCTGGGGGATAGCTGGAATGATGGCGAAGCTAGAGCAGCTGCCTCAAGATTGATGGAGACAGTGAGAACTGCCAGAGAAACGGAAATTAACTGCATGGGGTGCTGATATGCATGGATTTTATTTAGCAGGCATGAAAATACCATGGAAGGCTGACTGTTCTCTTAACCAACTTTCCTTACAAAGGTTGTACGAAGAATAAATGTGTATAAAAACATTGCATAAAGCTTAACTGCTCTGTGGAGTGATGGTAAGAATAGTGAATCTAATTTTTGTAAGATGGGATGTAAGAATACTTTTTAAAATTATTATTTTATTTTATTACTTAAAAAATACCTATCCAAATTCCCACTTCCTTCCCTCCTCTCACTTCCCTCCCACTCCCTCCAAACACCCTCCCCACCACCCCTTCCAATTGTAAGAGAGGGCAAGGCACCATGCCCTGTGGGAAGTCAAAGGCCCTCCCCACTACATCCAGGTTGAGCAAGGTATACATTCAAAAAGCCAGTACATGCAGTAGAGACAAATCCCAGTGCCATTGTAATTGGCCCCTCAGGCTGCCCCAATTGTCAGCCACATTCAGAGGGACTAGTCTGATCCCATGCTCGTTCAGATATGAGAACAAGGAAAGAGATCTCGACTGAGGGAGCCATTTTGGGGATAGCAAGAAACCTGGCTCTAGAAAAATTCCCAAGAATCCACATGGATGACCCCAGCTAATACCCTGGGAATGAACTAGAATACCTTTTTAAGTGGGGGGAATGCTCAGAAGAATGTTTAGCTAAATATTCATCTGTAGATCATTTTGTGTTAAATGAATTTTCTGCAGAAATAAAGAATAGTCTTTTTGTAGACCACCCTTTTTTAAAAATCTTCTCAAAGCCCTAAGCTCAACAAAAGAAAATTGTAGATATTGATAATAAAGGACAGGAATGTTCCAGGAACTGCCTGCTTCCTAAGCCCAGAGAGAAAAGGTGATGAGTTCTAGAGAACGGGCCACAGCAATCGCCAATATGTATTCACTGCTGCAATCCACATGGGAATGGAGCAAATCAGTGAGACACTTAGATACTTCTTCAAATATGCACCAGAGTCCAATAATGTCCTTTCAAAAGAGTGAGTTTTGAGAGTCAGGACTCGTTTATCTATGCTTCAGGTGAAATATTTTGTAAGGCTATTCCTGAATGTGTTGTCTGAGGAACATGATTTGAACTGACAGAATGAGAAGACTATGATTTTGTGGATTTTGAAAAAAAATGAACAGTCCTCAAATTTTAATCTTAAAGGCCTACTAACTTTCAAAAGTTTAAAGATGGCACTTCCCTTCTACAACCACTGCACCCAATTTCCTATTAGTATGTAAGCAAAGCTTACAGCTTAGCACTTCCAGCTAGTTTTTTCCCTGATAGATAAAACTATATTAGAATGTCAAGGATTATTTTTCAATGGTGTCAGGCCATATCCAGTATGCAGTTGCAAAATATAAAAGCTAGATATTTCCAAACATTTTTGGATTAATCACAGTCCTGTGCATACTAAGCAAGCACTTTATCCCATAGTTAGAGCCTAGCCCCCAAATTCACTTGATTGTGCAGATGAAAATATCTGAATTCTCAACGAACACCTCACTCTTCTTAGGACTTTAAGGTTGATGAAAACTAGCTTTAAAAAGCAATATTCTAATGACTCATTAATTTGATAATATTCTACTTCAATTCTATGTTTTACTTACTTTTTAGGAGTGCGAAGATCAAGGAGAGTTTCTTGGATATCAATTTCAATTTCAGAAGGGTTTGTATCAGGCAGTTTAATTTTCACCTAAGATAAAATAAGAAAATACTACCATTTTGGAAAGCAGTTACTTTTGAAAGCATAAGACTATATAAAGAACGGAGAAATAATATTTGCTAAGAGGAAATGCCAACTGTGTGCCAGGCTATGTGGTTTCCTTTTATTGATCTTAATAAACAGAAGTTATTAGCTCCATTTTAGTCATGGAGAGACCGAGTAGTTCATCGAGGAGATAAAGGGCAGGCATCGGTAATGTGACTAAACATCTTCTGACTCACTAGACTTGTAGAGATCTCTGGACACCTTTATATGAGTAGGACTCACATAAATGTAGAAAATGTCATGTTAAGTGTAGGTTGGTCATGCCAATTTGCAATCTCTTGATAAAAATACCCATACCACATTTTCTAGGGAAGTATTGGCCTCCAGAAAAGTTAAGTGAACAAAAGAAAAATAATACTATAACTATCTCCTAAGAAGGACTTCCTACTAGTTTAGCAAGATTGCACTTACAAATGTTTCATCACATTTACTATAGGGCCCAGCAGTCAGCAGCATTTCCACTTCTGGTTATAGATCCAAAAGGCCACTTGTGGCTACATACTGAGTTGAGAAAAGCCTGAGCCACATGAGACCTTGCCTCAAAACAACAGCAATGACAAAAAGGAAAAAAGAAGAAAAAAAGAAAAAGAAAACATATTCAAAATTTTATACATGGTTTTGTTCATAATAGCAGCATTCAACATAGTCAAAATGTATCAACAACCAAAATATGCGTCCATTGATGAATGGATAAAGGAAGTATAACATGTACACACAGTGGAATATTATTGAGCTGAAGAAAAGGACAGAGTACATTAAATATTTTTAAATGTGTATGAGTGTTCTGTCTGCATGTATGCCTGTGCACCACATTATACCCAGTGCCTAGTGGTCAGAAGAAGGCATCAATCTCTTGGGACTGGAGTTACAGGCAGTTGCAAGCCGCCATGTAGGTACTGGAACTAAAACCCAGGCCTTCTGCCAAAGCCACCAGTGCTCTTTACTGCTGTGCCATCTCTCTAGCCAAAGTACATTTTATTGATAAATCCTGAAAACATTATGCTGAAGGAAAGAAGCCAAGCATTAAAAGGTGCATTGTATAGGATTTTATTTATACAGCACGTTCAACCTAGGCCAATCCAGAGGTAGAAATTGGACTGGAGTTTGATAGAGGCTGGGGAATGGAGAAAAGTATCTGCTAAATGTGTGTGAGATTTCCTTTTAGGTATAAGAAAATAATTTGGAAAATAGATATTAGTGGTGGTTATATAGCACTCTGAATAACTAAGCGTCACCAATGATAAATGTATATTTTACCACAAAATTGCACTTCTCTAATTTACATCTCTCTTAGTTAGGGTTTTTATTGCTGTAATAAAATGCCATGATCATAAACAACTTGGGGAAGAACGGGTTTATTTCATTTTAGAGCTTTTAGTCCATTATCCTCCAGGCAGGAACCTGGAGGCAGGAACTGATGCAGAAGTTATAGAGGAAGGCTGCTACTGGCTTGGTCCCCATGAACTGCTATTCATATGCATCCCAGGACCACCTGCCCAAAGATGTCACCACCCACTGTGATCTGGGCCCTCCTACATCAATCCTAAATTTTTAAAAAATGCACAGTAGGCTTGTCCAAGGGCCAATCTGGTGGGAACATTTTCTCAATTGAGGTTACCTTTTCAAAAATGACTCCAGCTTGTGTCAAAGTGACATAAATTAGCCAGCAGAACTCATTTTGTGATGGGAGTTAACATTATGATATATAAAAGTGGAAGGACATATAGTATCTATAAACAAAAGAATAAAAAAATAAAATCCAAAGTTCAGGTAAATTATAAAGCTTTTTAAAAGATGAACTTGATGACCTGACATTTTAGTTATTTGGATAGTCCAGTTGTTGGAATGGCCAGGGTAAAAGCAAGGTTTAAGGGAAATGCATATGAAATAATGTGACATACTGGAATTTCCTCCTAAAATGCTCAATGCACACAACAGTATTTCCGTAGCATAAGGTATGTGGATCAATATATGCTTCTGAATTTATTAAATCTGTACTTAAGTATGATGATAGATAGCAATCTAGAGGGGATAGTGTTTAAGTACTTACTGTGGTTAAATTTTTGTTCAAACAGTTGCCTTCTAAAATACATTTCAGAAATTAAATCTTCATAATTAGAGATGCCCTAATTGAAATAAATAGCACATTTTTCACAGAAGCAGTTATAGGCACTCTGACTCAAAATAAATGAGCATTAGATAGGACCAAAGTCCCATTTCTGCTGAAATAACCTTCCAGTCAGATAGTTAATTTGAGATGCCCTTTAATGTCTCATATTCACCAAATAGATCAAGGGATAGAACTATTTGTTTCTTAACTTTGAAATTGTTTAAAAGTAAAATAGTATTTCATAACGATTGAAAGGATAATTGAGAAGAAAGACCGATGATGTATGTGAAATTTAGATAGAATTCCTAGGCAGAACTTCAAAGTGGTTATTATAATAATCTGTGCTTCCAGTGAAAGATAATTCAAAGAAGCAGCTCACTAATTTTTCCTCTTAAGAAAATTAAAAGGAGGGACAAGAGAAAAGACAGATTAGGTGGGATGGTGCACACCAATCTCTAACAAGATAAGGATTCCATGGGGATCTAACAGTAAATCCCCTCTTGAAACTGGAAGGACTTGTACTCGTCACATGGATCAAGGGATACAATGGGTTCTTTACTTTGAACTGTTTAGTTCTTTAAAGGAAAAAATTATCTCTTGTAATCTTAGCAGAAACCCCTCCTGAAACTTGAGTCAGACTTTTTAATAATTGGTACTGTCAATGAATACTTGGAAAACAGTTGACCTCTGATTGTGAGAAAGGCTTTCTTTGTTAAAAATTTCCACGTCCAGGATACCACTGACCAAACAAAGGAATTTAGATTCTTTCTTTTACATAGCTTACAAATTGAATTCATTTAAAGATGACTACACAAACAAGATCTGAACAATGACATTATCAATAGAGATGCTAATGCTCAAGGGGGCAAAATACCATGAGATTCCACCCACAAGACAAGGAACTACAAGCAATTAATGACTGCTGAGAAGGGATCCAGTCCCTAAACAGGAATGAGCCCCCTAATTAATTACCCAATGCAAAAACGTTCAGTCCTAAAATCATATACATACAGGCAACAAAAATGAACTTAGCAGGTTGTGTGTGTGTGTGTGTGTGTGTGTGTGTGTGTACATATATAATAAAAGAGGCTAACAACTTGAGGGGGAACATAGGAGGGGTTAGAGGGGTAAAAAAAAGGGGGAAAGTGATGTAATTCTATTTCAATTAAAATGCATTAAAAAATAATTTTATCCCATGCTTTTTCAGTCACTCTCTGAACATGGCGGACAATGAGAGCTGATGAGAAGCCAAGGACAATGGCACTGGGTTTTGATCCTACTGCATGTTCTGGCTCTGTGGGAGCCTAGCCAGTTTGGATGCTCACCTTCCTAGACCTGGATGGAGGGGGGAGGACCTTGGACTTTCCACAGGGCAGGGAACTCTGACTGCTCTTCAGACTGGAGAGGGAGAGGAGTGGGAGGAGGGGGAGGGAAATGGGAGGCTGGGAGGAGGCGGAAATTTTTTTCAATAAAAAAATAAATAAAAAGTAATTTTAGGATATTTTATATATAACTTGGCTAGCCTATAATATTTACTGAAATTTCAGTAAAGCTTAATATATACAGATGGTTTCATGTTGGTATTTTGAAAACTATTCTAAATTAATTCAAGGGCTGTAGATATCATAAAATAATTCTATTGTCAGAAGTATAGACACTATTCCTGATTCATTTGAGTCTTTTAAAAAGTTGAAATTGAATTTCACTATAAAACAAAACAACATCAGGAAACTGTGATAAGAGAGACTTGTGTAGATTTTATTTTGAATAGCTTCAACAATTTAATTTCCTACTGTTGAACTATGGAAACACATGAGATTTTTTTTTCCATGCAACCCCAGTAATATATAACCTCTTGAACAACAGTAATCTGTAGGAAAATGAAAAAACAAAAATGATGATCCATACCTTGAATTTACATAAACATTCATCTTTAAAGAGTAAATATATAGAGGCATGCATTTTCTCTACAACAAGCGCACAAAATCAATAAGACAGAGCTTTAATTAATGTAAGTTTTCTATAATGTCATTAGCTTTTTAAACAGTTCAGTACTATATTGCCAGGCCTTCCTTTTCTTCTTAAATATGTCCCAGAAATATGACTCCTCTCCTATCGTAGGAGTCAAGAGGAAGCTCAGATCCAGGTGTGGTGAGGCAGCCTGTACCTCCAGCAGTTGGAAGACAGGCAGGGAGATTGTGAGTTCAAGGCCAGACTACGAAACATAGTGAGACACTGCTTACAAAACCAAAAACTAAACTTAGCTCATCTACACAATTCCACAGGCACCCAACATTCTCCTAAACAGTACACCACTATCTGTCCTGCTACAGACCAAACCAAGGCCATTATGCTTTTAACGCCATTTTCCCACAACAATAAGAAGTTTCACTGTTTATAACATAATAATTAGCATAAGGATATTCATAGCTCTTCTGCTGCTGTTTTCTACACTTCACCGATTCCTTGCTTGTCTTCTGTTAGGTACACTGGAACACACAGTGCCTCACCCCTTCCTCATTGCTTACCTCCTTGAATAGCTTCTTTGTTTTCTGTCTAAATGAAATCTGTACCTCCACTGAGGGCACTGCTTCCCTCATAGTCTTTTCAACTGGTTCTGGGTTTTGTTTGTTTCTTCCATCTCCTTTATATTACTGTCTGTCCCTTCTCTTTCAGTAAAAACATTTCATGTCCTACATCATGCCAAGTGACAAAATCCAGACACAAAAATGAAAGGGTCTGTCTTATATGCACAATCTTTTTAAAAGGAAATGCATAGACAGAGAGAGAATAGTGGCTACCAGAGATAGGGGAA